GAGTTTGATTAACTCATCCCTGCTGATTGATGTGTAAATGATGTGTGCTGTCTGTGGGGAAAGGTTTTTCTGCCCCCTGCAGTAGAGCAGGTGCGTTCCCGAATTACGTGCAGGAAACTGCTCTTCGGTTATTAACCTCCGCTTTTGCAGTGGAACGGGTTCGGCAGCGCATGGCTCATGCGTGAAGCGTAGCCCGAGAGGAGCGCTGTTATTCGCCTCCCCTCCACTTATTGGTATTACAATATCTGGGAGCCCCTGTAGCGGTGCAGGACCCCCACTGTATGGGGATTGTACCCCTATGAATAGGTGGGGAGGCACACAGCAAAAAGCTATCCCATTCCTTTTGACTTAAAACTGTTTTCGTGGGATTCTAGTAAAGCTTCTCAGTAGCAAATATCAGTATATATTAAAGCTAAATTTCTGTATGACTACAGTTGATTTGTTTCGGTTATGTCTTTGCTTTTGTTTTTTGGCTTCTGAGCAAGCGTGTGTTGTTGCTCTAGAAAACTTTCCTCTGTGTGGGAGCGTTTAACCTGCTGTCCAGACTAATTCCCCCTCGTTACCTAGAAAGCTGGAGGTGCTTCCGTTTCTACAGTGAAAAAATGATCACCTGAATGTACAGGGAACAGATAACCTGTACTACAGAACTAGAGATCCAGTGAGGGTTTTCAGTTATTCTTCAGAAGCAACTCCTGCCTGTAACGTAAAGTCCGCAAGAAGATTCTCCTAATCTTCCACAAGTTCTCTCTTTGAAAGCCTTGCATTGAGTCCAGAGAATGATTCGTTTACAAGTTGTATTAAGCGACGGAGCAGCAGTAGCAATTGGCTTAATCTCCAGCAAGTCTGCTCAAGTATGTTTGCTAGTCTAATATTATCCAGAATGTGGACATGGTCCCCAATCTTTTGATATTAGGGTAGCACTAAGACCCCTGATCAAGAAGGGCTCCGCTAGGCATTACTGCTAACTCATGTCTTCCTTTCTTGGCTTAGGTCGACAAGTGAGCAGCGAGTGCCAGGGTGAAATGTTGGATTACCGGCGCATGCTAATGGAAGACTTCTCATTGAGCCCAGAAATCATCCTGAGCTGCCGAGGGGAGATCGAACACCACTGCTCAGGCCTGCATCGGAAAGGTCGCACTCTGCACTGTCTGATGAAAGTAGTACGAGGAGAAAAAGGAAACGTCGGGCTGAATTGTCAGCAAGCAGTAAGATGCTTTTCTGTCATTTCAGTTCTAGGTTGTCAAGCTGGTAGAAGCAGTGATTTGTCTGTTAACGTTTTGCCTTGCGAAACTAGAGAATGCTGGAGGCAGTTGTGTAATTATCGTGGTATGAAGTGTGACTTGGTATCTAGCTGCACATTAGTAAAGCTCTTTTTCTTAAAATTCTTTTTCTGGTCTGGATTTCATGCTCGATCTCCAGTAGTTCTTTTCCAGCAGTTCTCAAGTCAACTATTTCTCTCCTGGGTGTAAGATATGGGGAAACTTGTTTATGTAAAATTTAAAATATTCTCTCCTCACGAGCCCTTTCCTTGAAAATGCACAAAATCTTCACAGAGCAACTTTCAACTGTTTTGACTTTTTTCTATTTCACTCCTCTTGAACGATGGGAATGGAACTTCAGTGACCGGTGTGATGAACTGCTGTTCATCGTTTCAGTTGCAGCTACTGAAAGGAATGGTCATTCTTCCCTAAAATACTTGTAAATAGGGCCTTTTGGCCTTTTTAAACTTCATTTTGACCCGGATTTGTCTTGTGTTTAGTCTTTTTAAATTGAAAGCAATTACTTCATATTTCTTCCAACTCATTAATGCTACTTCATGTGTTTTTTACCTTGGGACTTAATACCTGTTTTTAATGACCCTTCAGCCTGTGTATATGACATGAGCCTGGAAAAGGGACGCCAATGCAAAAATGGCAGAGGAGGGATGTACAGAATCTGTTATTGCTGATGCAGCAATTTGAGGAGATATATGCTCCTGACCATCTGCAGCATACGGAGCCACTGCAGCCCATTTTCAGTTTAAATGTAGCTTAAAGCCTGAGGCCAGAGTATTCCCGTTGCGTGTGTGTGTGAGCAAAGATAAATTAATGAAGAGCTGATGACATTTTATTTTCAGGCATTGGATGATTTTATGCTGAAGCTTATTCTGTATAAACACCAGGTGTATCGGTGCAGCAGCTGTGTGTTTTGAGTCATATCTGCAGTGAACTATAGTGAGTGATGCTTTGCAACATTTGTGTGGAAAAACTGGATACTTTTTTCCGTTTTTCGACTATGAAGCAGAACTTGCTGCCTCAGAACTGGCTTATCCAAAAATTATTAGAAGATTGGTTCTGCTTGGGAGTGAATTGCAGACCATGAAATGCATGGTGAGAGTAAGTCCTAAGTTAAGACAGGGAATTTCCCAAAGTGGGAGATTTCAGACTTCTGGGTGGAGAAGAATCTCTGTAGAAACCTATAGGTTTTTTTTCCAGATCTCTTATTAAAATACTACTTTATTTTTGTACAGGAAGTTGATGTGGTAGCAGGGCTTGCCAATGACTATCCTTTAAACTGAATGACCTGTGTTCTGTTCTCTGTACAAAAGACAGCAGGAGCAAATTAAATGCTAATTTTGTAAAATATGATTAGCTTGTCCATATTTTTGTGGACAGGAGGAAATAGATGATTGCAAGAATAAGATAAATGTTCCAATATTCTGGGTTCCTGAGGAGTGACATAATGCTCTTACATAGCTGCCTTCAACTTCTGAAGAACCTAAATCATTTATTGTTGATATTTTGTATGGGAATGGTGATGGCTGGACTGGTGATGGTTGTCTCAGCTGTCAGATTTTGTTCCATTATGATTTATGGTGCTAGAATGAGCTTCCCTGCTTTCACCTTTTGCAGTAGGTAAATTAGTTTCTGTGGAAGAGAATATTGTCTGAATGGCTTCCAGCTTCTGGCCTTCTCATGCGAGAGACTTGAACTCCCCTGTCGTTTGAGACTGGCCCATGTGACAGGCCACGAAGGTGGCACCTTAGAAGTCCAGCCCTTCCTAGTAGCTAGAACTACTTGAATTCTTTTCTGATACCTCAAGGGTCCATTTGATGATGGATAATTCTGCTGAGCCACTGCTGCTCTTTTGGAGTTGCTTTCTCAGATTCTTAGTTCGCGTGTATCAGTTGATGGTAGTACTGCTGCTCTGTGGTATCTCTACCTTTCCACCTGTGGAAATAGAGGACGACTGAGCAAAGCAGGCAGCGAAATGCTGGGTTTGGGTTGGTCGCGGGAGAGCTGGCTTCCAGTAGTGCTTTGAGTCCATCTCTGAGTATTGTCTTTAGTCTGCTGAGTCCAAATCTTCTCTCCCAGCAGAAGAGCTGGATAGTTCACCTCTGCTTTTAGTTGCTTCATAGGTAACACTAATACAGCATGCGCGTCTTGCCTAGCTCAAAGTGGTAGGGCTGCTTCTGAGAATTTTCGATGTAGAAGCTGTATGACGAGACCCACTTGCCTAGAAGGCTCGCTCGAGAAATTTAGAACTGGAAGTGTCTGATCTGGATCTCTTTACCTGGACTCTCCGGAATCTGTCAAGATGGGCTCTGATTCTGCTTGCCTTGCCTGATGAAAGGAAGATGTTTGTCCATCTACGCAAAAACAACAACAACAAAAACCCCAGTGCTTTTATTTTTCTGCAGGGGCATCTGCTTTCCTGCATTTGAGTGATTCTTTGTGCTTAAAACTGTCAACTAAATGCACATAAGGCCTTCTCAAACCCTGATTTCTCACTCTGACGGGTTTTGTTTCTTGTGACGTACCCCAACCAGGCTGATCTCACGTATGGGATTCTGTGCTCACAGTTAACCATAGCACTGTGAAAGAGGCATGCCTAGCCCCAAACTTCTAAATTGTGCTTTCCCCATCTTTGCTTTGCATGGTGAACTTGCCAAAATGCTGAAGTGCTCTACGTGGCAGGAATGGTTGCTTTGTGTAACAGAAATAAGACAGCGTAAGTTCAAAAAAAATTCCTGTTCTTTGCTCAGCCACCTTTGCCTAGCTGTAGGCCTGAATGTTTTGCTCACCCAAGGGTGACGCGGCAGCGTTTCACAGGTACGCTCCTGCAATGTGCCCTCGTAAGGGCCGTTTTGCGGTTTGGCTCTGCCATTGCAGTGTCCTGTCAATTCAGAAGTGAAGGCAGGGACCGAATTTGAGGGTAGGGCTCCTGTTACTTTTTAAAAGTTCCTTGTCCTCAACAAGGCAACAAATACTTTTGATGTAGCTACATAGTAGCATGCATTTTATTAAAAAATAAATATATTTTTATATATATATGTAAATCTCTCTCTCTCTCTCTCTCTCTCTCTCTCTCTCTCTCTCTAAAACTTTTACATACATGTGTGCATTTGTTTGTCAAGAGGAGATGTTCCTTCTAGAGCATGCCTCTCAGGACAAAACAAGCTCTTTGCTTTGGGGATACGTCTAGAGCTTGGGTATACTCCGGTCATTAGGTTGTCTTCTGCAAATAACATTATGTTATCATTTGCAAAGGAGTTCCTGTGCATAGGGAGGGTGGGTCTGGGATGCTGTAGCACTTGGGCCATAGGCTGTAGGTCACTGGGAAACAAACATACGTGTCCCCTAATTGTGAACACCAACCCATAAAGGGTCTACAGCAGCCAGACGTTAGGTTACACATGATGATGTGGCTCCATGGAAGTAATATTCTGTACTAGAGCCACTGCTGACAAACTCCTTTTCCAATATGTTTTCTGTTGCTCTGGCCTCTGCTTTGTTTTTTCTGTTTATCCCTTGGGCATGAAAAACTATAGTTACTGCTAAAAGGGCTGATATCTCTGCTTTCAGCTTCTAATGCAGCTAATAAATTGATAGTTAATTGTTAATTTAGCTTCAATTCAGGATGAGAGTTCAGCGGATTATAAGGCTTATTCCAACTGCATTTCAGCAGCAGGCTAATTGTGGGAGGGAGGAAAACTCTATAAACTTCCACTTTTATCACCAGTGCCAAATTACTCACCTCGTCCCTTATTCGTGGGTCAGGGCAGCTGGCTCCCTGCAGTTTGCACTTGGTTGAGAATTTGATTCGGGAACCCTACGGTAGTTCCTGAAACGGCATTGCAAGGAGAAAGAGTTGGAAGCAATTTGGTACCTCTGAAACGCTGCCTCGCGGCCCGACTGCTCCCTATTGGGAAACAGGCTTGGGAGAACCGTCAAGTCCTTCTGCTCGTCCGGTTCGCCCCATCAGGCAACCGGACGGTTTCGTGAGCAAAGGAGATTCTCTGCGGTATGAAAGCTGTGATTACGAAGGCCATTTTTGCAGAAAACGGTATTTCAAGGAGACACAGATTTTGAAATGCCACATTGGTAGGACTGAAAAAAAGTGTTTTTAGGTGCTTGGAAATTGCTGAGTAAAATACTTTTTTCCATCATTGTTTGTGCTTTTCTTTGTATACATCTTTCATATCTTGCCCTGGGTTCTTGGATAAAAATAACCATAAACACCTAGAGGACTCGACATCAGGTGACGAACCTAGCTTTATTCAAGCTTTAAATGCCTCTATTTCAGATCAAGTATCCCTTTTAACTACTGGGAAGTGACTGCATGGCTATAAACCTGCAAACTGAATAAATGAAAATAATGCTAGGTTTATCTACTTAAGCAGTGTTTTCCTGGTAGCTAGACTGGTGCAGAGTCACGGGGGAGAGAACAAGACTTCCCTCTTGTTGCTCTTCCATTTGCAGTGCTGCAGGGAGAGGGAGCAAACTCTATACAAGCAGCTCATGGGAGCCTCCCTGTGAATTGGTATCCCAAGACAGGCCCGGTCTTCCCTTAAATGTCCAAAGTATGAAATTGTGACCTTCCCTACGTAGGGAAATGTGAGCGTATTGACTCGTGCAGTAGGATAAGCTATTTTAAATATTGAAAGAACTAAGAGCAGGGGTATGCACCTACATTTGCAAGTAAAGGTTGGGAGACTCTGATGGAGACGAAATACCCGGACTATGGTTGTAACGGTTTACTTCAACTCTACCCAGGGTATATTCTCTATTCACTTTGGCCTCTTCCACTTGATAGCAACCAGAATACTGTGAGGAGGAGTCTTGCCTATATAATGCTCTGATACACTCCAACTAGGTGGCTTATGTAATCTGCGCTTGTTAGAAAATGTCAAGTTTAGAGGTTTTATTCTTCTGTTCCTCCTTGAAGGAGTAATTCAGTAATTGTAATACTTGATCCCTTTTTATATTTAAACATGTGGCTTGAAGTGATCACAGCATTTTACGTACAGTGTGTGCACGCCAACAGAATTCCCGTCGTCTTCGCTATTACACTGACTCTTCTGAGGCTTTTAAGGTTGTATCACTTCTCAGTTCTCCAGCTGATTAAGGTGTATTTTTCTACTGTGAAGTGGATTTAGATCCTGTGCTCTCTTCTATTTGACCCTGCCAGATTCATATAAAACTTGGCCCTTTTTTAGTGTTGCTCTTTAAAAAAAAAAATAATAATAATAATAATTTTTGCATCAGCACTTGTTTAATCTGGTTTGTGCCTGCCAGACAAAGTTCTTTCAAGTTGCCTGCATCCCTTGGAAGCTGAGACTGGGCACAATGAACTTTGGGCCAAGAAGTTGCAGGGAAACTTATGCTCCTCCCAGGCAGTATGTAGTCTGTCTTCTCGATTACAAGCTTCCTATTGGATCAAAATAGTAATGCTAGCTTTTTTCTGCACTTCTGTGATGCTTTGCTCCTCTGGGTTCTGTGATGCTAGGGCCTTGCCCAGCTGTGCTTTTGATTTAGTGGGAATGAGGGCCAGTGACGAAAAGTCATGTAAGTAATTGTCAGGATGTTAAGTGTAGACCGTTTGATGTTGGCACGAGGTTACCTTCTAAATAAGCTCTCGTTTTTTTTACTCTAAATTGGTTGGCTAAAAGTGCTTGCCTGTAGGCTGATGATATCAGTCTGCCCGACATCTGTTTGCTCAGTCTTTGACAATTCATGGCTTGGTGGGAAACGAAGTGAGGCAGGAGTATCCAGGACTGCGTGGTGGCAGAGAAGGCTATCCTTCCCCTCCAGCACTGTCACTGAAATGTAATTCTGAGCTTCATCCAAATTCCATTTCCCTGTGCCCAGCATATCCTTCCCAAACTCGCGTTCAGATGCTGTGGGCTGTGTGAAGACCACTTGTATCAAACCTCATTTTGAACTTAGTGCTGTGGTCACTAACTGGTGTTTCTATGTGGAGACGGTTTTTTTCCAAAGCTTTCATCAGAATAACTGGCAACAGTGAGACAACTTGATTAAGTTATTCATACTGTACTTACCTATGAGAGTTTAAAGTATTTAGCGAGAAGACAGAGGTTGCCCATGGATATCATAGCATCCTTGATCTCTGAATCTGTGAAAAGTTTGCTTTCACTTTTGACTTGCACCATGACTTCTGTTAACAAGTAGTTAGAGATGGAAAACTGCTGCCTTTCTTAAAAGAGCGTATATTTTGTGTAGTATAGACGAAATTATGGTTACCTTGGTTTCCAAATGCTTGAGCTGGCATCCCTGAGGAAATCGTACCTTGTAGGTCTGCGGAATGGGACTTCGTATCCTGTATTGTCAGTGAAACTTTTGGCTCCCCTCCAGCCAATTCAGAAATGTTTTAAAGCTCGGCTTAAATTTAAGCAACTGGTCTTTAAATGTTGATTTAGGTTTCGGTTCAGAACGGTAGGTAAGTTTCATGGAAACGTAGCAAATTTGCTTTTTTTGGTGTTATCAGCCTTGGTCACAACCTCATCCCATAAGATGGACCAAACCCACAATATTCAAATTTTACTAAATCTGTTTTGTAAATTGGTGTATAACAACATCAGGTTCACAGTTAACCTTCAGCACCTAACAGGTCTTGTCAAATGTACCCGGGCTGCTTCATAAGTAAAGTTAGGATTCAGCAGCCCTGGACTCCTGTGTCTTACAATCAAGCGGGCAGTGCAAAGTTTTCTAGTGCACGCAATTTGCCAGCACTTAAGTAACTGTAGAATAGAGTTCATATCTGCTAGTGTCATCATCAACATGGAACTGCCAGATTGAGAAGCTTTCAAGCATTCTGATTTAGAGCTTTATAATTCATGTTCTCCTGTCCACGTTTCTCCTCTTCCAGCTTCAAACGCTGATTCAAGAAACTGACCCCGGTGCAGATTACCGCATTGACCGAGCTTTGAATGAGGCTTGTGAATCAGTTATACAGACTGCCTGCAAGCACATACGGTCTGGAGATCCAATGTAGGTTGCTGTCTGTTACAATTGATTTTGTTTCTGTTGGGCATCCGTAAAGGTTATGTGGCTCACCAGTATAGATATTAATCTGTCCAGAAATGAGACTCCAAGCTAACAATTCGCACAGAGCTGAAGATGTGAACCAGGTTCTATCTTCTGTTCTTGCTGCATAAGCAGGCTAGTGTGTGTGTGGCAAGGCTGGTTTAGCAGCGGGGAAGGATGTAGCTATCTTAGGAGCTTAGATTAAATTCATAACACTTAATGTGCTGATTTCCTCTTACTATGTTAGTCTTTAGCAGTACTGCAAAGAGAAGTAACAAGCCTTGCAAGGCTAGTAACCCGTATTGCAGAGACACATCTCCTTTATCTCAAGTCTGATATATATTGTCTTCTGAGCTAAATTTTGTATGAAACGTTCTTATGATTTTATCACATGTCAGATTTGAGTTAGTTAAATCAGTGGGTTTTAAGAGGGTGTGAATGTGGTATGTTGTTTTTGATGTAACCTCCTTCTTGAAGGAGGAGAAAGATTATCTTTGCTGTGTTTGAACCTCTTATCCATGGTTCGTGGGAAAGGCTGTTGATTTGGCAGCACCAGCTATTATGAGGAAGCTCAGCATGATTCGAACAGTCTCTTGCCTAACTTCTTCGTCTGTTTGCAGGATTCTGTCTTGCTTGATGGAGCATTTATACACGGAAAAGATGGTAGAGGATTGTGAGCATAGGCTCCTGGAGCTCCAGTATTTTATATCGCGTGATTGGAAGTGAGTACTGTAAAATAAGATTAATTCTTACTTTTCTTGATGCCTGTATCTAGCATGCATATGCATTAGCAATTCCTTGCATACTTGTATAGCTTATTTGTCTTCAAATGAGAAAGAGCTCTTTTAAGCAGGCCAGGTCTCTAGGGTATTAATATCTGTCTAGAACAGTAGAAGTAAGGGTGATGCCCGCTTAAATCAGATACTCATTTAGAAGAAATAGTGCAACCCTAAAAAGCCTCTCAAGTTTGAGCTCTGAAGTTCAATGCATGTTTAAAGCAAGGTTTTGGCTGAAGGTAAAGGTCACTTTCTGTGTAGGAGGCAGCTAGTTTTGTCTGCTTTGCGTGCTACTGCATGGGAGTTAAGAAAACCAAGCTACTAAGTGTAACAAAGAACTACTGTCTTAAGAGGTTCCCTGCTTCTTTCTGCCTTGTTTCAAATCCTGTTGGTGTTATTGCTTGTGGAGTGGATGTAATTCCCTTCAGAGCACTGCTTTTCAAACTTTTTTTTAATCAAAATATTGCAGTGCTTTGTTTTAAATATCCACAGAGCCCTTTGTGTCTGTTTGGGTTAAGATGAGTGGGAGGAGGATATAAATTTGGCATATTTGGTAAACGTGATCAATGAGGGAAGAATGAACGTTTGGCTTTTCTTCTAAAGAAAACTGAGAGGCAAGGAAGTCAGAGTACATCAAATGGGGTTGCCGCAAGGAAGGGAATAATTGTTCTGTGACTCTTAAGGAGTAAGTCAAGAAGCCATTGCCTTAAATTGCTGTGCAGGGTGTTCAAAATAGACATTAAGAAAATCTGACTCATAGCTGTACCTGTGGGCAGCGTCGCCAGTGGTTAAGAGCTGACAGATGCTCTGCAAACCATTTTTAAAATACAGGAGGTTCACAGACCACAGAATTTAGGGCTTCGTTACTGTTTGTTTAGTCATCTTGATAACTGCCTACTTTTTTTTTTTTTCCTCCTCTCTTCTTCCCTGTTTCTTTTCCAAGGAAGAACCTTGCACGTTCCTCCTGCCTATGCCATGTTTCTGGCAGGGAATTAGTTACTTGAGCCCAACTTAAGTGATCGAAAAAGAAGAAGGAAAACTGAGTGTTTGCATTTTGCTAGGAGTAAAGATTATTCTAATTCATATTGTGGGCTAGGCAAAATGGGCTCAGCTTTGTTGTTTAACCACTGTTCCCTAGAGCGGACTAACAAAAACCTTGATTTTAGACTTCTAGAAAGAAGCAGAGAATAGAAGTCTTCATGGTTCTTTTTACTTACTACTTTTATAATTATCTGTGTAACTTTATTCACAGATCCCACCAGATGTTTGCCTTCTAAAGTATCATAGTCTGAGGCTTGCATTTCAAACAGTTGGCAATATCTCTCTTAGGTTTAATGTAATTAAACATCATCTTAATCAGAGCAATTTTCTTGCACGCAAAAGCGAGGGGTGCTGAGTCTTCAGTTAAATCAGCCCAAATCCAGAGGAGAAGATAATTAATCTAATTCAGATTTTTATGAAACTGACATTTCAAAATGGCAGCAGTACAAAGTACACATAGGATATTATACAAGCAAAATGCTATGTACCTGCCTTTCTGCTGCTGTAGCACATCAAGGAGATGGTGGTTTTTTTTTTTTCTCATGTGTCAGCATTTGGCTGGCATGCTGTAGGAAAAAACAAGAGGTGCTTCAAGAGGTGTTGAAGATTTGATTTGTAATTAAAGATCCTAGTATATTTTTGCAAGATTAGGAAGGTAATTTCAAATTGAGTGACAGGCATTTTGCCCCCGATGGTTCAGTTGGCTCGATACTGTTGCTAAATGATGCAGCGGTGTGCAAAACTTAATGGGTTTATCTGCATAGAAAGTGTTTCAAAATATGAAAAACATGAGCCGCTTGAGTGCAGAAGGCACCACAGAAATTGAAGTGCTAGTGATAACTTTTCTGTTTGCAGGTTGGATACGGTCCTTTATCGTAAATGTCAGGGAGATGCCTCGCGACTCTGCCATACCCATGGCTGGAATGAGACTAGTGAGCTGATGCCTCCGGGGGCTGTTTTCTCCTGCTTGTACCGGCATGCATACCGCACAGAAGAGCAAGGAAGGAGGGTGAGCACTAGAGTTCAACTCCCTGCTGTTTCATCTGTGGTGTAAGAGTTGGATATATATTTGGAGGCTGGGCACACTGTCTACGAGGGCTCACAAAAGCTAGTTAGAAGCATTTGCTGTAGATATTTCTTGCGCTAGTGCACATGCCCAACTCCTCTTTCAGTGTGCCTTTGAAGGCTTATGTTGTTGTTCTGATAGGGCAAAATGGCCGGGTCAAGATGTGACAATTGCCTGCAGTGGAAACTGTGCCGACAGCTGCTTGTGTGTTAAGACACTGTGTAAACCCCCCCCCCTTCTCTTTCCAAAGAGTAAGTTGATTCCTTGCAGCTAGCCAGCTTAGTTGTAAAACTGCTTTTAAAGAAAAAAGCTTTCCAAGCCCAGCTTTCCTGAGCTGTTTCGAGTTATGTTTTGATTTGAGTGCAACTTAAGATTACACTCTATTAAACTCTTTCTGCTGGTGTAAAATGTTTTCAGTTCTTTGTACTGTACTGGTAAATAGGCTTATGCTGTCTTTAAAGAAGACAGATCTGCCTTGCAGTCTGGAGATCTACACCATAACCACATTTGTTTGGTTCAGAGCTTCTCTTTTCAAGTCTGCTGCCCTCTCGTGTCTCTGTCAAGGCACTGAGCTTACTGAGCCTCCAGCTCAGTACTTGGTTCCATTTCTTTTGGCGTTGTAATGTACGCAGCTCCTTGGAGTTGGTGGGATTACACAATGGCCTGGCTTAAAAATTAATTCCTACAGCTTGATATAAAAGGTCCTTTGTGGCAGAGGTCAGCTATCGATTGAAAGCTTCTCTTTTAGGAATAATTTTTTTTGAATGCAGTCTCTTAGTGTGCTGAGTTGACTTTTTAATTCCATTTTATATAGTGCTGACCAAAGAAATCAATAGCCCCCCTGCAAATAGTCTATCAGAGAGAGAGGGAGCGAGAAAAGACTCTCAAATGTATTTTTCTTGTGGAAAGTAGGCTAAGGGAGCAGCTGTCACTTTGAAATTTAGCATCTGAAAGCAAACTCATCGGATCAGAGCTGTCCTCTTATTTCCAGTGCTGTCTACAAAGTACTAGATAACTTTCAGTGCTTTGGATTTTTGAAATATGTCAAGTTTTTTGCTTCTGTCATTGCCTTTTAGGTCTGGCGAGCACCGTACTAGTGTCCCTTGATTTTCTACAATGTGTCTCTTTCCTTTGTCTTGACAAATACTGGCTCTGCTATGCTGCAACGGGGATTGCAGGAAGGAAATTGTAGCTGGACTATATTACTTGGTACCCTTTTGGTATCGAGGACGACATCAGCTTTCTTCTCCACATGTAGTCTGTAGCTTTGAGTGAAGGTGGCAGTGCAGTAGTTAGTTTAGGGACCCACTTTGACATCTCGTTTAAGAGCAAAGTGAAGGTTTAAGAATATAAAGTTTCCCTTACTGGAATGAAAGGAGCCTTCCTCCAAACTACAACAAAAGTCCAAACTCTTTTGGAGTCTGGATTGTTTGCCTGGGTACCGGTGTCATGTAACCAGTAGGCTCATGTTGAGCAGTACCGGACCTTTTAGGTACTTTTTGGGGTTGGTAGTAGCGGTCTGTGGTCACTTTCAGTAAGTCAGCTGTGAATATTTTGTGTGTGTTGTATGAATTTAGATACACCGTATGCTAAAAGCTCTTTCCTCTTTGCAGCTATCACGAGAGTGCAGAGCAGAAGTCCAGAGAATCCTCCATCAGCGAGCCATGGATGTGAAACTGGACCCGGCCCTCCAGGACAAGTGTATGACTGACTTGGGGAAATGGTGCAGTGAAAAAACAGAGACGGGACAGGTATGGCATACAGTACAACCATTTTGTTTGCAAAACTTAGTGGGAGGGGAGGGTGAAAGGGGGATGAAGGACCGTCTTGTAGCTAGCTGGGCTCTTTATAGTTGAGAGTATATTAAAAATGCATGCGTTTTGAAACGTGAACTACGTTGGACTGAAAGATGGCGGTGATATAAAGAAGCTTTGTACCTACAACATGGTTTCAGTATATTCCAATGTGTAGTGGAATGAGATGGGGAAAGGGGATAGTTAACATGAAGGACTTTGCTTCAGTAAAGCAATGCCGCCCCCCCACCCTGATTCTTATTTGTAATATCCTATTACAAGTTTGACGTTTCCCACATAAACTTTATCCCGTTTCCATTTGGCAAATACTGACATGCTTCCTGTGTTTATAAAGAACTGAACTAACATCTGCTGCTCTTTAACAAAGTTTCAGCAAATACTTTCACGTTACATCGCTCCGCCCTAGCATAGCTGTAGGGAGAGAACCATTCGATAGCAGATGCAGTAGAGCATTACACCACTGTCTTTTTGAAGCGTCTGACACAGATTGGTAGTTTGGGTAGTTAACCTTCGGTAAAGATAGTGGCAAAGGCAAACCGTAAGTGGCGTTCCAGAAGTGAAAGCACATCATGCAACTTTTGAGAGCAAGCTGCAAAAACATCCTAGCCTCACCTCCTCAGTCACTACTGTGTTTGTATCCACCCCTGTGCGAAACAAACCAAAATAACATCCAGGAGACGCTAATTAGGGAAATTCAAACCGGCATGGTTGCACTGTGTTTAAAAAGTTGTGTGTGTGTGTAATTGTACTTATAGAGGGGGGAATACTTTTGCATTTTTTAATTTGAATAGAAAAAATATGACTTTGCTTAGAGATGATATTATTTTCAAAGAGAAAAATGCCACATTTCCCATATTCAGAACAGTTTGAATAAACACATTTATTGAAGCTATGAAAGAAATTGCTTCAAAACAACCGTTTAACTGCTTTCACAGAGTACGCTATTTTGGGAGGCTGCTGCTTTTAGAGAAATGAAGGATCAGGACGGTGCTTGAGCGCTAATACGTACATTGCTAGGGTGCAGATTTTTGCTTGTAATATTGCTTGTAATCCTCAGTTTATCGTGGAAAAGAGGATCAGTAGTTTTACAACTTTTCCAAAGGATCTTGTAAGACACACAGGCAGGAAAGAAAATGGTACCAAGATACTGGTTGCAGAGCCTGAACTATGAAAGTGATGCTGTCTAAGGAGGATGATGAAGAAATGTCTTAACATAGTTCGTCAGCTCTGAAATTCTCATCAGCTCGTTTAAGTCTTTAGACCCTGTTTAAGGCCCTTTGCTTTTCAGATCAACCCAAACAATAAGATTTCCTGTCGGGGAAGGTCGCCTGATGCAGTGATTGTTCTGGGAGTGCCGGTCGAGGGGTAGAATTAAATGAGATTCTTCGTTTTTCAGAGGGGGGCAGTTTCACCTATGTGACTATTTCAGACCCAGATTTTGAATTTGGACTCTCAGATCACATACTAAATGATTGTCTTTATAGGAACTAGAATGCCTTCAGGACCACCTTGATGACTTGGTGTCTGATTGCAGAGACATAGTGGGAAACCTTACTGAGCTGGAGTCTGAGGTGAGCAGTTTTCAGCGGAGGATGAAGGGAAGAATAAAGTATGCCATTTTGAAAATGCTGGGAAAAAAAGAGAGATCAGAGTAGCTGCAGAAATGCAGCTCGCTGGGTTGAAGCAGGGGCCACCCTTTTTATGCTGTACAATTTTAGTTTTCATGGGGGGTTCCTGAGGAAGAGAATTGAACAACGGTTAAAGATTGTAAGCAGGAGGAAAAATGCAAGCACCAGCCTAAAAGTGGTGATGGTACTGAAGCTAAAATTTTTTGCACAGATGTTGACTTGTACTGAAAACAGGGTTATATGTTGGGGGGATTTAGTTTTTGGTCTTACCTGCAAGAAGTTTAGTACCATATTGCAACTTCCTTCTCCCTATCTCAAATGTTGTGCAAGAATAACAGCTAGGTGCACTTAGTGATGTGTGTGTTGGGGGGGGCGGGGGCAGGCATGTGTATGTGTTTGTTTTTAGGAATTTGGGTATTTTGAGTATCTTGACCAAAAGTGTTCCCTGTATATCTTAACTTTTACCTTGTGCCGTAGGGGGCACTTCCTTCCAGTGGTTACAAACCATTTTGCTCAGAACTATCATTAATTTTTAACTCCTGCCCCGATCTAATGGGGTTTCTAGTGGTGTAGTATGAGGTTTGGAGGAGGCTGGCCGAATTACCTGAGCAGTGAGTTTCTATCTGTGGAGACCAGGTTCTTCCCTTCAGTTGGAAGACTTGTCTTGCATTTGCCACGTTGTTGACAAAAGCGAACCCTGGATATTTCGGAACTGAAGAGTGAAGCTCTCTGGGTTGCATCTTAAAGCCCTGTAAACTGAATTGAGTTCAACTTGGATTGCAGTGTGGCAGAGCAGTTTTCCTTGTGTGCTGTCTGTTCACTGTGAGAATGAAATATTGCATGTTTTCTGCAGGACATTCAAATTGAAGCCTTGCTGATGAGAGCGTGTGAGCCCATCATCCAGACGTTCTGTCACGTGAGTTCTCTGTGATAATCTGAGTGGTACTGGGAAAGCACGCTGTGTGGAAAAGACTAGAGGTTTTTAATATTTGGTTCCTTGGTGTACTTCCTCCACTTCAGAAGTAAAACCAGAGGTAAAAGAATCACAGAAGTCTATGTTTAAAAGAAAAAGGAAAAACCCTAAATTGAGAATTCTTGGCTCCATGCGGTGCTGCTGCTGCTGTTGCGGAGTCCTTGCGTGGGGGCTAGAATAAAGGTGCCCTGTAATTAAAAAAAAAAATGCTCTTCATAGTAGGTCAGACTACTTTTTCCTTCCCTTCTGCCCCCAAGCAGTGTGTCTAGCTGCTCTACTTTGTGCTGCTGCTCAACATTGCTGACGTAACTTCTTACATTGCTGTAGGATTGAATAGTCAAATAGCAGCGTAGGCACTGAACTGTAATACTTCATGTAAGCATTGACTCTCTGCACTGTGGTCCCCTGTCTGAATCTAACATGTGCATGTGTCTGAGATGATTCTTTTCTGAACTGTGTAAGTATATGCATGCAGCCACGAGACAGTTAATGGTGTGCACAAGTGCACAATAGAGTGGGATTGTAAATTCCATTGCTCTGAATTATTCCCTGGTCACGGTGGACTAAAGGAATACAAAAGTCATGGCTTGTAAAAGTAGCTTGTTTTTTAAGCCTTTCCTCCATCCTTCAGGAGGTTGCAGATAACCAGATTGATTCTGGGGACCTGATGGAGTGTCTGATACAGAACAAACACCAGAAGGAAATGAATGAGAAATGTGCAATTGGAGTTACTCATTTCCAGCTGGTAAGTAACACTTTTCTACACTATCAGCTGAAACTTATTGTGTTCATTGAGGTTGTTGATGGGAATTAGCTACTTGAGAAGCTCCTCCTTTTTTCCCCATTTTGTTAAAGGTGGTTTTCTGAATTTAGACAATAGTACTGGTATGCCTGCTCATAAATGGCCGCTTCTGGAGATTACTTCTTTTCAAGCCCTCCTCCTTACTGGTGCATGGTAGATAGGGTCCCAGCTTTCTCAGCAGTGCAGCTTCTCCTTTGCTTCCCCACAGATAAGTTGTGGCATTTACTGATTTTTGTGATTCAACAAGTGTTCTCTTGTGCAGCACTGATTTTTCCCATTTTTCCTACAGATGACCTCTCCTCGTTTCTCTTCTCTTGCAGGTTCAAATGAAAGATTTTAGGTTCTCTTACAAGTTTAAAATGGCTTGCAAGGAGGATGTGCTGAAACTTTGCCCCAACATCAAGAAAAAGTAGGTAACGCCTGAGCAAACAGCTATGTGATTATAGAAATGCAAAATAAGGTTACAACATTGCTTCCTGGTCTGTCAGGAAACCTTACACTTCCTCTACAGACTGGTGCTTTGTGTGTGTGTGTATTTTCCTATAGTGACTCTGTTCTGCAGATGCTTAAGGTAGAGGCATTGCCTCCCTCTTTATAAAAGTATTTCTTTTTTAGTCTTACATAAGATCATGTCCTCTTAATTGTCCTCCACTGGCTATTTTCATAGCAAAAATAATAATTAGTGGTCTGCATGCCCCAGGATGTTTTACACCCTTGCTAAATTCATTGTCTTCTAAGATGCAAGTTAAGTGTTACAGTTGCTGGTCTGGGAAAGGAGAAATCCCACTTGTTTTAGCAGACTTGTTCATTTCAGTAAAAGGATTTCTTGTTTAGTAGCCTAATCCAATAATGTAGGCCTAAACTGCACACAGGGTCAGTCCTGTTTGTGGATAAGACTGTATGTGCATTTTATGATATAAGCACCCTTCCCATAGTGCAAAGGGCTGTTTGCAATGCCATGTGTGTATCCGCTGTTGTGATGTATTCCTGAGATTAAGACTTTCTTAGGTGTTTCTGTGACTCAAGGGCATGTCTGCTGACCCACACTACAATTAAGACATCATCAGGTTTAGAGGGTTTATTTGGGATTCACATCCCAATGTGTATTACTTCACATAAAGCTTTACCCAGGCTAGAAGTAACCTTTGCACCAAGACTTTATGCTGTGTTTGGATTCCTGAAGTCAACTACTTTCTTCTGTAATGTGGGGATCCAATGTGTCTGTCTCCTCTCCCCTTCCCCCCCCCCCCAAATATAAATGAAGACTATATGAATAAGAAACTGTTTTATTTTCTGCAGGGTGGATGTAGTGATCTGCCTGAGCACAACTGTGCGCAATGATACTTTGCAGGATGCCAAGGAGCACAGGGTATCTTTGAAGTGCCGCAAACAGCTGCGTGTTGAGGAGCTAGAGATGGTAAACATGCATGAAACTTTTGATCTGCCTGCACTTCCAGTGAGGTCTTTCAATTATAGCTTCCTGTTTTGTCCATCTTGGGGCAGGGGGAAAGCTCATTCATAAGATGTGCCTAATCCATTTTTTTCCACTGGGAGAAAATCTTCTAACGACACCAGGCTGAGTTGCCTTTCCACAGTGAAAGTAATGATTGTCTGCTTTAATACCCTAAATATAGTCTCATGTTTATTGTTAGAGAGCAGCATGCTATGCTTGCTGACATCCCCAAGTCCTCTAGAATATAAGCTTCACTTTACACAGTGAGGAAACAAGCACAGATCAATCATTTTGACTACAGCTGCTGTAAGGTGTTCAGCGGCTAAAGAGGAGCATTTGTTCTGCTGGGTGATGCTGTCTCTCAGCTTCTTGGTGCCAGTACTTGTGGCAATAAACTCCCGAAGCCTTTGTCCAGTAGATTTTCTTTAAATGTTAAAGCTTGACCTTAAGTAGGCTCACCTCTGAACAGACAGCACTCTTGTCTTTGCGTGGAGGAATTTGAATGCTAGCCATCACTAAAAGCTGGAGACTCCATTCACGTACTTCAGATCATACTACAAATGGATGACTGTCAATACGTCCTTTCGCTTTCATCTGAAAAGACTTTAGCTATCTTAGACCTCTGTGTTGATGGAAAGCGGTGCCCTTTTAGGAGTAGTGAGAACAACCTGCCTGCTCTAGAATTTTGTTTAAATGGAGAATCCTCTCTTTAGCAGAAAAAGAAACTGATCCATTGCATGGATTTGCGTAGCTGATTTCCCGCTAACCCCTTTTTTCCCTTCTTACCCCCAAGACCCTTAAATTCAAAGAACCTGACCTGCCTGTTGTAAAAGTTGCTTGCTTTTTGTGAGCAGCGGGTTCTAGTTAGTAGACTAACAAAGCAAACTAGTCATCTTTTTTTTTAATGTCCTAATTAAAAGTTTGTGCTGTAATTTGGTCCTGCAGACAGAGGATATCAGACTTGAACCAGAACTGTATGAGGCTTGTAAAAGTGACATCAAGAATTACTGCCAAAATGTAGCCTATGGCAATGCTCAGGTAAGGGATCTTATTAATAATTCAGTTTAATTTTTACTTTCATTTTGGAAAAAATTCTGAAGAACGCTTTTGTCTCTGAATGCAGCTTTGGATTTTCATTTTTAGATATCACTAAAACCTTTTGTCAGTCTTGGAGCTTTTAAATGGTTTTCTCTGGTTCACAGGCAATAATAGTGAATGTAATGCTGTGAGCAAGGCATTCCTTCGTTAACATTAGTTCTAAACTATTAGCTGCTGGTTACTGCAAAGATTGTTAAAGAGATCTTAGCTGTAATGTCTGCAAAATGAGATTTGGGATGTGAGGAGTAGGTCCAGGTGACCCTCTTCATCTTATTAAATCTCTTTGTAAGAAGAGGTGAGCTTTAAAACAAGTGCTCGAAATCAGCACTGGTCGTGAATTTTTTGATAAAAACCTAGGCATTGGAAACTTCAACAACTGCTGTCAAGGGAGCACAGCAGTGTTTTTGACTAGCATATGACAGAATCATGTCAACAATACATCTATCTTGGTTGTAATACTGGGTTCTAGATTATTGAATGCTTGAAGGAAATCAAGAAGCAGCTGAGTACCCGGTGCCACCAGAAGGTGTTTAAACTGCAGGAGACAGAGATGATGGATCCAGAACTGGACTACACACTCATGAGAGTCTGCAAGCAGATGATCAAGGTGATGGTAGTGTGCTGACTTAAAAGGATGAAGTTGGGTTATAAGAGTGTATTGGTGTTGTATCTTAAATTATCGGTTTTGAACTTCTCGTAAAGACTCGTTCCAAAACTGCTAGGTTGTTTCGGAATATGACTGCCTTTATGCAGAATAACCAGATTCTTAACTCTGAATCAGGCTGAGGCTTCTTCAGGGCACTTCTCTTTCAACTTTACTTCCTCCAGATGCCTGTCTGATTAAAGCCTGTGCACAAACATATTTGTCTCTCCAAGTGCCAGCAGCATTAGAGGAGGAAGTCTGTGCTGAGGCTTCTAATACAGCTTTGATCTCATCAGTCCTCTTGCGGCAGTAGGTTGGCTTTTAGCAAAGGTAGAGAAGTTATCATGATTACAGAGGGGAGTAACCTCTAAAATTCACTGTTGGCCTAGTACAGACTTTTATCGAACTGACAGAGTAGACAAAATGATGCAAAAACTTTGATACTTAAGATAAGAAATGCTGGCTTAAAGTGGTGCCATGTAAGAAACAGCCGTGAATGTTAATACAAAACACTTCTGCACCCTGGCTAGAATTGCAAGCCCTGAAAAACTGCTGAGTATGTGTGTACTCGGTAGAGTACTTTGACTCCTTATTGTGGCTAAAGCATAATATCTCGAGTTTGTGGCTCTCCAAAACAGATTTATACTTTAAAAACCTATAACATCTTCAAAGGTGGTGAGGATTATCAGAATGCAGTAGCTCTGTCTTACAGCCACAGAATTAGTTTTGAACAGAAGGAACAAGTGACTCTAGTCTGAATTTTCAGTCAGCTAACTCACTTATGACTCTGGTTTAGGACAGGAATGGACAAATTAGTGTCAGGGAGTTGTTTGCAGCTCTCTGGTGCTACCCGCTCTTACCTTGTCCTGAGCGTAACCCATGGAGTATTTACCTGTCACTTTGTCCATCCAGCTGTTACAGAGAACAGCAGTATATGGAGTTAAAGCAGTAGTATATGAGAGATGATTTGATGGTGGTTTCTCACAAAGACACGTGGTAAGTTATGAATGGAGAATAAAGGCAAATTGCTTTTGGTACTATCAGTGCAAACTACAGCCTAGAACCTTAGCTAGTCAAGACTCTACTGCTCAGCTCACGCTCCATAAATGCAGATGTTCATGTCCACAGCAAGTTTAGAGAATGGCACTGTTCTTCCTAATAGGAGATGTTGGGGAGAACTGACTTCTCTCTATCCTGCAGGTGGATATTCTGTTTCGTGAATGTGATTTTTCAAGTGCTCAGTGATGAAACTTAGTCGGTCGGTCTGTCTGTCTGTCTCTCTCTCTCTCTCTCTCTCTATTTTTGTAGCGATTTTGCCCAGAGGCAGACTCAAAAAACATGTTGCAGTGTTTGAAACAGAATAAGAACAGTGAAGTGATGGATCCTAAATGCAAGCAAATGATTACCAAGCGCCAGATTACACAGAACACAGGTATTCTCTTCTTGTGGCAAGGGGGAAAAATTAACTGCTTGCCTGAGCTGATGGGTGATCTGCATGACTGGAGGACTGTTCCCTTCATTTTATTCTACTTCACAGTTGTCAGTGCACGCGCTTCTCTTCAGCCTAGTTTCTGAGAGCCAGCGTGCATTACTGAGTGAGAGCCAGCGTGCATTACTGAGTCTGCTTTACTCCTCTGAAGCACTTATTGCCAGTTAAAATTCTTCTGTAGGGGGAAAAAAATATTTTTTCCCCCTAAAAACAATGTTTCTGAGACGTGGCCATTCAGGAAGCTTCTGTTAAAGCTTTTTTGGAGCGTTATGCTCCATCTGCAGAGATGAAGTTCTGCTGTGTTTTCTTTCCTGGTTAGATTATCGCTTAAATCCAGTGCTCCGGAAGGCCTGCAAAGCAGACATACCCAAATTTTGCCAAAATATCCTGAGTAGAGCCAAGGATGATACAGAGTTGGAGGGGCAAGTCATCTCATGCCTGAAGCTGAAGTACGCGGATCAGGTGAGTAGAGATGATGCGCATAAATGGAGACTGTGCAGGAATGTGCTGAGTGACACTCATTGAATACCAAATGAAACGTGGACTTGTATGTTCAACCTATGTAATGTACTGTATCTAAATGAGGTTTTATACTGCTGTACAGTTACTACAGACTGCATAGATTAAAATGCAAGTTGATTGATTTATGAAAAGAAAGCTCTCATGGAGTGGGTTAATGACTTTCTCCGCTTAATAGCGTCTCTCTCCAGACTGTGAGGACCAAATCCGAGTAATAATCCAGGAATCAGCTCTTGATTATCGGCTGGATCCCCAGCTTCAGATGCATTGTTCTGAAGAGGTAGGAGAAATAACTCCTCAGCTGCTTATTCAGGGTGAAAACTCTCCTCGGGAGCTTGGAATTGAGAAGTTTTGTCATGAAACAGACTTCATGTTTCTTAAAACGTGAACTCTGCTAATATAAAAACAAACAAAAAAATTTCAGCTGCTTCTAGCTAGTCAGGTTCTCTGCTTGTGACCTTTGCCTAATGTGTAAGAATTGCAGGTTCCTGTGCAGTACGAGTATGAAGTAGAGTTTGGCATTTGGCATCTCATCAGTACTTAGAACCATGGAAATATGTTGCGTTACTGTTGTGAAAAATGGGTATGTTCTCTGGCCTTGTCGGTTTTAACGGGAATACAGTCAGATTTTGAGCTTTTACTTTTAATAGCCTAATAATCCCTGTCTCAAGTATTGCTTATTTCATGTCTTAACAATATTTCTGTGCTGTTTTTCTCCTCGCCTTCCTCTCAGTACAGCGATACTGACTTCTTGCTGTTGGGTTAGGAAGGATATGCGTATTGAACGAGCCAGGCTGTGTTTGGCTCTGGATATTAGCCCTGTGATGGGCTAATGTGTTGAGATAAAAATGTGTTGAAAGGCAGAACGATTGTTGTGTACGACATATATTAATATTAAAATACTTCTTTCAAAATAGATTTCCAACTTGTGTGCAGAAGAAGCAGCAGCTCAGGAGCAGACTGGGCAGGTGGAAGAGTGTCTGAAAGTGAATCTGCTGAAAATAAAAACTGAAATGTGCAAGAAGGTAAAGGAATTAAATTGAACGTATGCCTAAAAGGCATCCCGGCCCTGCAGAAGTCAGTGTTCTTAAATAGTCTTCCAGATCACACCCCAGACCATGTTCTAGCTAGTGTGAAGCCAAAGCTCTGCAGACTTCTTTGCCCATCTCAATTCTGGCCTGCAGCAATTCAATTCAATTTCAATTTGCCAGTGAAAATTGTGCCTACAATGCAGTATACTTTGCTGCAGTATACTTTGCTGTTCCAGAACTTGGATCCTTTCTTGATTATGGTTGCCAAAGCTTCTTGTTACTAATCTGTTTTCTGCTGCTGTCTCAGTTGCAAGCTTCCTGAATGCTAAGTATGGCCTAGGCCCTGGCTGTGATCAAGTTGTGTAAACTGCCCCGATAGCTGTGGCATTTATTTCAATTCTAACTAAAGTAGCTCTGGTATACTGAGTTTGTATTTTACATTAATATGGGTATTTAGTGAACTTAACTATGCTCACCCTTATAAAGCAGGACGTTTAATCCAGCCTAGACCAGCATTTGTACTCTCATCTGGTAATGGCATTGTTTTTCTGTGATCATGGATTAAAAGAGTTGATCCACCTTTCAGAAACATTGAGTGGTATGATCTGTGTTGTTTTGTTCTCCCTCCTTTCTTGAGATGCACTTATTTCTCCTTCCCCAGGAAGTGCTCAACATGCTGAAGGAAAGCAAAGCAGATATATTTGTTGACCCAGTGCTTCACACAGCCTGTGCCCTAGACATCAAACACCACTGCGCTGCCATTCCACCAGGAAGAGGACGCCGTAAGTGTTTGTGCTTTACTCATGCAACCTGTTTATCCTGAGGGCCTTAAGCTGTATTCCCTTACCAGCATTATCTTAAGTGCCAGATATTTCTGCCAATCCTTTGCGGGTGATGCAGTGGAACGGCTCCAGAGGTGGTAGATGCCCTTGTTCGAGTCATGGCACTAGAAGGGTTGTCAGGAAGTGTTCTAGTTCTCCTTTGTGTCCAAGGCGGGAATCAGTTCTTCAATCCTAATATAATATCCTTGCAGGCTTATCTGCAAATTTAATAAGTACATGTTCCCTCATTCATGTCATTACTGAAAACAGTGCATGATACCAAATCTATAACCCTTCTGTAAAATCCCGTCTCAGTAAATCCTTCTATTGAAAAATGAGCTCTTAAGTACGTGGACTGAATTTTTCAACCATGTTTATCTCCACTGTGTATCAGTTTCATATAGGATACAGCTCCCAGGCTGGCTTATAACAGTGCTATATCAGACTCTCGAAAGCTTTCCTGGAATTAAGTTTTTCCTCTTTCAGAAGCAAGTCAGATTGGTTTCACAAGATCTGTTCTTGGCAAATCCCTCTTGATCCTTCTTTGTGTCAATAATTGTTCCTAGTTTGCTTTTTTGTTTCAGAATTTTTGATAGATAAAATTAAGTTGAAGTCTTTTTTTGATCCTCTTTTTTCCCTCCTTGCTTAAAGATGCATATTTTTTCTTCTCCAGTCTGCCAGAAGATAGGCAATCTTTCCTATGTTTTCTAAGTTCATGTAGCTGCTGAAGGCTTGGAGATTTCATCAACCATTTCAAGTCCCCTAAGACAGAGTTCAGCAGCTTCAGGCCACTTGAAACATCATTTATCTAAATATTTCCTAACCTGTTTCTCTTCTGTTTGGGATCACCCTCTTGCCTTTTGTTACTGCTGTTGTATTAACAGCTAGTATGTATGGCTGTTGAAGAAAAGCTAGTGCCAAAAAAAAAAAAAGTTTTAAACATTTCTATCTTCCTGAGTTTGTAGTCACTAGAAATAGCAGGCCACGTATTTTCCTGGTCATTATCTTTCTTTTATGATGGTTATTGAATGCCTTTCTGAAATTTTGCATTATCCTTTGTTTATTTCTTGTTTTATCTTAATTCTTTGGTGTGTGTTCTGGTGTGTTTGCACTGAAGATATGCAGAAGTCTAGCTTAGAGAGGGATCTGCCACTGGGTGTTTGAACTAACAATTGTGTTTCAAAGTCTGGGGTTAGTTTAAAGTTTACAGCCTGTTTGCCTGCTATGAACGAAATAACTCTTCATTGTAAAGCAGAAAACATCCAATTAGGGATTATTCAAGTAAGGCAGCATAAGTATAAAGGACACACGAAATGTCAGTGTCTCATATTTGAACTCGTAAAAAAGCTTATGAATTAGCCAAGACGGTCTGTAGGCACCCAGTGCGTTGTGATTCCGTTTCCTCTGCACAGGACTGTGAGAATGCAGGAAGCGAAACCTTTCCAGAGCGTTCTGTTAACCAAGAAAAATGCCTAGCAATCCTAGGCAGATCCTGTGGTTTTCTTCCTGAATTGGATCTTGGTTCTCGCTAAAGGATAGTAGCACAGAATTTGGAGAACAGCTCAATAAAGGTTCACGTTTATAACACTTAACCTCATATAAATCATATCAAGGATATATAATGTCAGACTCTTGGAAGTCAAAATTCCTTGCCTCTCAAAACATCTTAATTGTAAATCTTTGCTAAATTGCTAGCTTCAAGAGTAAAACAGGGTTTGGTAGACAGTTTATCAGATTAGCTAGTCTGTTTAAAAAGCTATGTAACTGTCAGTCTTTAGAATTGGAATGTCCCTTTCTGGCAGCCTCTTCATAGCATACCACTGAAGGCACTGTTTCTAGTTTATAATACTATCTTCTACACATTGCAGAAATGTCATGCTTAATGGAAGCTCTGGAAGATAAGCGCGTGAGGTTGCAGCCTGAATGCAAGAAACGCCTTAATGATCGCATTGAGATGTGGAGCTATGCCGCAAAGGTGAGTATGTAAAGCATTTCAGTAAACCATTTTTTTGGCATTGGTTCTTTCATTAAACCGATCTGTTGTAAACTGCTTATTAAAAGCCTGAGCTGAGCTGTAGTGAAATTCATGTGTCTTTGAAGGAAGTACAGCATTGAGTTTTAATTCAGAAATGTGAAATCTGGCCTCCTTTTTTTACTTATTTATATATTCTTTTTCTCAGTGTCTGGGATGCATCTGCAACAGTGCAGAATTAAATTGTCTTCTGGGCATGCAGGGCTTGGTCTCCTGCAGAGAAGGTCTAGGGCAATGAATGGGGTCACCAGAACTTCCTGTTGGAAAGCTGTCTCCCTGAGTGGTTGTTCACTTAGATGAATCATTACAGGCCCGCTTGTTTGTGGTTCAGGGCGAGTTTGACTGGGGGAGGAGGCAATAGCGGTAGCAGAGATTAAACCTCATAAATGACCTGTGTGAGAGTCCCGTGCAAAGCACAGTTCTTTGGCTCATTTGTTCTCTTCTCACCACTAGGTTGCCCCAGCAGAAGGCTTTTCTGACCTTGCCATGCAAGTTATGACCTCTCCGTCCAAGAATTATATATTGTCTGTGATCACAGTGGGCATCTGTGTACTCTTCCTGATCGGCCTGATGTGTGGACGCATCACCAAGCGGGTGACAAGAGAGCTCAAGGACAGGTAGAGCCTGGATTGCCTGCTGAAGAAATGCCTGCCCAGTGCCCAGTTTTGTACAGCCCTCCTCTGTATAGTCTACCCACCCCCTCTTGTGAGAGGAGAATAAAAAAAAAAAAAAAAAATAGAACAGCAGCAGGTGTTGGCTCAGTTTTCCCATCCTGGATCTCATCCACGGCATCTTCATCCTATGAAAGTTTGTGTGCAACATTGGCAGCCCAGCCAGCAGCTTTCGTTACCCCTTTGTTAGCAGACTCTCGTTTACCTGCCTGTAGACAAGTCTCTATTGTACTGTTGGAACTGCCTTCACTCTCCAAACCAGACTGACATGACCTGCAGCTCAAGCAGTTTTTAAGTAAATTTTTAAAGAAAGACATATATCTGCATACCAACTATATGATTTAGGTAATGGTTATATAGTCATTCTCTGTGGCTGGGTGAAATTGAGGCAGGAAATTAAAGGGTAAATTGCATTTTACACCACAGTTGGCCTTGTTTTGGACATCTTATGTTATGTAAAGCATCTTCAGAGCATAGTCTTGGACAACCTAAGGACACCAGTCACTGGTGTCATCCTCTAGTGACTATCGTGCTTTTGTTACTGTGGATTTTTTTGGCTGAAAAGATGTCCTCCCTTTCGTCCTCTGCCACTCGCAAGATAGAATAAAATATTGACCAGGATCAAATACCGTGCGAGCTGTACAACTTGCATTTCAGTAGATCAAAGACATGGTGTAGACACAAGGCATATAGAGCCTGTCAGTAGTGTACAGTGCTGCTGTCAGTGGGCATTAAGTGCCCTGATCAGTTACTCAGTCAACTTTATCAGTGATGATGCAGACAAATTTTAACACTCCATTTATTTTACTTTGCTGCTGCTAAGCTGTTACCCTTCTGAATTAACTGTCTACAGATGGTATTGACATACTGGCAATAGTGCGCTTTGCCAGTGATGTGGGACGTGATTGAACGCTCAGCATCTCTAACTGTAGAACAGTTGCTTGGGGGTTAGTGCAGTGGTTTGTAACTGACCTGTCTGGGTCTTAATTGCTTGAACTGAAGCACTGAAGAGTATTTTTAGTTTCCACAGCTACAGTTGATTAAGGATAGAAACTGGCATTTCCTGGGATTTAGGACACAGGTGCTGGTCTAGGATATCAAGCAGGAGAGGAGGGGGAGATTATAGTGTTGCACGAAGGGCAGAAACATCTGGATCTTTAAGGGAAATAGCTTTCGAGTTGTTACCACCAGTGCGCACACTTAGGCCATATATAGTTACACTTCCAAAAGCTGATAGTCATACCTGAAAGCCCAAAGAAGGTGTCTTGAAATAGCTACACCTTTAGTTGTGAAAGCTACTTACCACCATCTCTGTTCCTCAAATACAAGGAGTGGAGGTCTTAGACCACATGCTGTGGTTGAAACCTGAGGAGTTAGGCTGAGTGTGGTGCTGAAACCTAGAAGTGACTGCATGAGAGTCGACATGTACAATAGGATGTACATGTACAATAGGATGTTACTAGCCTTTTAGATGTGCTCACTTGTGTGTGCTGCAGTAAAAATCATGTGCCTGAAACTGTCCAATTTAGGCTGAAGCTTGAACTTGTCCTGAAGCTTAGGCTGAAGCTTTCTTTTCCCACTTAGTGCACTGCTAGGTAAGATCTGACATTTCCAATCCTCTGTGCTGTTCTCTAGAGGAGCAGCAGAGATGATCTGAGACACTTTGGATGTGGACCAGGATGTGTTAATGATGCTGTGAGTACAGAACAATGCGTACAAAATACTGTGATGGCTTTTGCTGCCTTTATGAAGTGCTAGAAAGGTGTACAAAATTAAGTTATTCGCCAAACAGGTCTTTGTTGTCCCGCTCTGAGGATGGACAGCAAATGATTAGCGATCTAGCCGTAGACTTACAATGGGAGTCTTTCATGAGCTCTTCTGTTTTTAAGTCAAAGTGTTATGAACGCAAGGCAAACAATAGAGAAACTCTGAGCAAGGAAGATTCAGCAGAGAGCTGGTGTGTATGATAGGATCCCAGTTAAGTGGTAAGTAGAACAGAAATTAAGCCTCAGTTCCTTCACTCACCCCTGTTCCCTGGTGCCTAATGCAGGTTAACTGGCTCTCTGTAAACATGAAGTGGAAGAGAAAAGGAATGGTTGATCACACCTCTTGAGGTAGCACAGGGGTGTAACACTCAGATGTTAGTTTGGTGATTATAAAAGTCTACAGTTTCACTTGACAGTCAAAGTGCTGAAATGAATTACTATTGTAGAGATGGGGAGCGTGTTCACAGAGCTGCAGGGAAAGGAAATGGAATCTGTGCACAGAGTCTTGCTTGCTTGGCACAAGTCCTGCTTTTTGAACATCTATCAAGCCTAATTAACTTGCTCTTCAGTGGGGGAGGGTTTAACTGTTGTGACTTTTGAGGAAGTGTTTTGTAACCTGATTAGCCTGAAAAGCCTAGTTAGGTAGTGTATCATCTAGAAATAGCGTTTTTCCCTAAATTTCAAATGGCACCGCAATGAAGCGTTGCAAGTTTGTAGCCATAGTTCTGAACGTAATCCCTGTTTAGCTCTGAAAGTAACTGCTGTCTTTACTTTCCGATATAAGGCCTCTAGTTATTTGCTTTTTAATTGGAAGACGGTTAAGATATAGGAAGCAAGTTTCCTCTGTTTTTGTTGGTTTTGGAAACAGTGCAGTGATGTATTTTTGGCATGACACTTAAACGTTAGGTGAGTAAGAGCGGTGCTCTAAATGGTTTTAGAGTATGTGTTATTCCCCAGAACGTGTGGCTTCTTCTAGCCAGCACATGCAAGCCCGTGCAGTCGTGTTCTTTAAAGCAGTATTCTCAGTCCTTAACTGCCTGCAGTCACAATCCCTGCTGGATGACTTATTGCTGAGACTTTCCTCTTAGCTGGGCCTCTGTACTGCTAAGGAGATTTCTTAGCAGAGTTTCACACGGATGGAACAAGCAACAGACTGCCCCGGTGCCTGGGGAGCTGTGTTAGGAGGCTCCAGTCTGCGGTGTTTCTTACTGTCAGTAGGTTCACCTGGGAATTGGGTTTCACTGAGAGTGCTCAGTGGTGTTATGGGTATGCAACAGGAGGCCTACAAAGCAGAAGGTAGAATACCAAAATTTCTGCATGATTCCCTCAAATGCCCATTGTTGCCACAGGGGCAAAGACCCACCTTTTAAAGGTACGACCCTGGTCAAAGGACCCAGGCCATTTTGTCATTAAGCATTACACTATTCACATTTTAGAAAAGGGACCTCCTGACACTGCTGATGACCAAGTATGCTTTTTTTAATGACTAGAAATCTACCAATCCCAGTCTAGAGATGTTTGCCTACTTTTCACATATACCTAAACATCTAGAGGTCTTAAAAGCACAAGAAAAACCCTCACACAAATGCTCTTCCAAAAATAACCTGCTTGTGCTGTTGCCAGCACAACTTCTTGCCTGCAGGCAACCACTTTCCATTGCAGGAAAGAAATGCATGGTGGTAAGAAAGGTTGCTCTTTAGCTGTTAATTTAAGGAAGCCTTTTAACTTTAATGATCTATTTGAGTACTAGAAATACCTGTGTCATCCAAGAAAAACAGTTGGGGCAAAACTTCTGGTCCGCCTTCCTCCTTATGACCCTCGCCTCTTAGTGGAGAAGGCTGTGTTCCACCACATACTGCATGAGTCTCTCCCTGTCATAGGGACACCTTCTGTTTGAGAGCTTATTCTAGGTATGGTTATGCTGATGCTCCTGGGGATGTATGGAAAGGGTAGATGACTGATAACCAGCATGGCATGCAGCTCTCCTTTTCCCTCCTGCTACAAGGGCTAACAAGTTAGCTTGCATTTCCTAATTGACAGCATGTGTTTAGATGACATGGGTAAGGTGGATTGTGCATCATGTGCACCTCATCACTCCACTCTGCTAGCCCTTTAGTGTTTGTCCTTGTTGACTTTAAGGAGAAAAAAAAACCTTATTTATTGTTTACCTAGTCGGTCAAATCAAGTTCTTTGCCTTCGTTCCGACTTTGGATTCCCCTGCCTTGCTTTTGTCATTCAGGCTGTTGTAACTGATGTGGATAGGAACCATTTTTCTTAGACTTCGTGTAATGTCCAGCTAGTCTGAGAGTTGAGTACCCATGTGTCTGTGTCACAGAAAAGGGTCTGAAAAGCCCTCTTGAAGTTCAAATAATCCTCTAGCAAAGTCATTTAAGAATTTTGCCTGGAATCTGACATTTAAAATCCACGCAAATACAATCATCTTGCTCTGAAAGAATCCACAGTAGGCATATTGTGTGCAAATATCGGAGAGGGCTCTGGCACAGCAGTCTTCAAGTCTCAGCACAGAAACTTATTGTGTGTGGGTACAGTAGGGAGGAAAGCGTGACAGGTCCGAGATCCCTTGAATCTGTTGTGGAAGTGTGTTCAGGGTGGACGGTGACTTCTGTTAAAACACAACTTGATTATTTAGTTGGAAGGAGATTGTAGTGCTTTTTTTTTCCTTTGCCAGCTTTGATTTACAAGGGTAGTTTTGAGGTGTGTGCGTAAGCGTGGTACAAGATCAGAGCATTTCGTCTAACACTTCTGTCCCCATTAAAATAGCTCTGTGGACTCCCAACTGCTTTAGCGTTGGTTTGTATAAAAATACATTATTGCGTATGGTTTTTAGACTCTTATGAGCAGCTCCCAGGTACTGATCTTTGCACAGGCTTTCCACCTTGAGGCCAGAACTTAAGCTGATGGGTCCCTGCGGCAGGGCAGGTACGAATACCCAGGACCCCGCTCGCAGCGTGGGCTCGCCCGAGCGGGCAGCAACACGGACCCGCTCGGCGC